AAAGAGGCCTTTGCCGTCAGTGGCGGACGGCAAAGAAAATGGATGGAAAATAGTGGGTGTTAGCCACGTTAGGTGCTAACGGAGGCTTTGCCGTCTGCCAAACTAATGTTTTGCCATCTGCCGACTAATAACATACGGCAAAAATGTCCATCTACACGTTTATTAAAATCAGAGACATAAAAGGATTTTGTTTATTAAAATATAGTGAACCAGCAGCCCAAGTGCACCACAGTATCCATCTACGCTTTGTTCCAACAATCGACGACGAATGAACAAATTTCACAATACCAAATTAGTCTATTTACACAGAATAGATTTGCATCTGCTCCATCTACACAAAATTACTCTATTTACATGAACACCACATTATCCATCTACACAAAATCAGCACAAAAACCACAGTATCCACCGCCACCATGGACGCCCGAGGACCTGCCGCTGCTCCTTGAGGTAGAATATGGTGCGGCGTCGAGGGAGGGTGACGACGCCGGGGGCGACAGAGGCCTGGGGGAACGGGGCCGAGGCCTGCGGGGGCGATATGCGACGGGGCGCGGAGGTCACCCAGGTGAAAGGCGACGGGGCGAGGAGGCCGACGGGGGCGAGAGGCGATGGGGCGCAGAGGAATCAGCCGGGGGCGACGGGCGACGGGGCCGGGCCATGCCCGGCCGACGCGATGGCGGCCAGCGAGGCCGAGGCCGGGCCATGGCCGGCGGGCGCGATGGCGGCCAGCGAGGCCGGGGACTGCCGACGAGGCCGGGGACTGCCGGCGAGGTGGTGGCGAGCGCTTGCGGGGGAAGTGGATCGAGAGCAGGGAGAGAGATGAGAGAGAGACGTGGTGGGGTGGGGGTGAGACGTGGATAAGGCAGACTGTGGGGTGGGGTAAGACGTGGGGCGCGTGGGTGTTTCCCTGGGGGCCCGTACATCGTGGGTGGGTTGGGTATGCGTCCGACGGAGTGATCAGCGTGCGTCTCATATCTTGCCAACTCATCGATCCAGGTGATTGATCCGCGTGAGTGTTTCTTTGCCGTCTGCTTAACGACCCGTCCGTCTGCCCTAATCAGCCGCAGGGTCCAGTGGGGCCCAGTTGGACTCTTTGCCGTTTGCCTTCTGGTCCTTTGCCGTCCGCTGGCCGACGGCAACGAATTGGCAGATGGCAAACTATATATTTGCCATCAGCTAGTTCTTTGCCGTCTGCTTTTTGAAAGCAGACGACAAAGACCCTCTTTGCCGTCAGCTAGCAGACGGCAAAGAACAAGCTGATGGCAAATTCCCTGATTCCAGTAGTGTCTCTTGAACAAGCAAGTGGTGTGGTAAACAAATTACAGTTGGGCATCGATTAAATTGGAATACTTATATTTATGACTATGATCATTCATGGTATAATCTCATATAGCATTACATCCATAATAAGTAGACTGTTAATCCACCTGCATCTACTACTAATGCTCCACTCAAAGACTGCTATCCAGCATGTATCCTGAAGTATTAAGTTTACAAGAAACAGAGCATTGCAATAAGCATGATGACATAATGTAGACATCAAAGCATCAAGCAGTATGATGAGACACCGTCATTTTATCCTTAGTGGCAACAAAACAACATGCGTCTTGTCCCCATTCTGTCACTGGGATATAGATCACCGCAAGATTAGGCAGCTCATGGAGAAGATCAGAGAGAGAGAGAGGGAGAGAGAGAGAGACGTCTAACTACTGCTATGGACTCTAAGGTCCTAAGAGAACTACTCACACATGGTCATGGAGGTGACAAGATTGATGAAGAAGCCTCCAACAATGGATTTCCCCTCCGGCAGAGCTTCGTAACAGGCCTCCAGATTGGATCTCTTTGGAAGAAGCTCGCGGCAAAAAAAAATTAGATAAAAATATCTCAGAGGGTTATATAAATTTATGGCGGTTGAATGGACGAGAGGCGGTAAAGTGTCGGGCCATACGACTAGGGGGAGCACCCTAGGGCCTAGTCGTGCTAGGTGGCCGTGTGGGCCCCCCTTGCATCTTCTCGTTGCCCTCCGATGCTGCCTGGAATCTTCGTGCCCCGAAAGAAGTTTTATTAATCCGTAGGGTATTTTGACCTCTGTAGTTATGAATTTTATGTAAAACCAAAAACATGTAGAAAACAATGACTGGCACCGGACACTAAATTAATAGGTTAGTCCATAATTAACGTGATCCCCCCGTCCATAAATAACCTAAAACCAGCAAACGTACGAAACCAAACCAAACCACGACGTACGATCACAACCGTTGACTCCCCTTTAATAGTAGAGATAACTTAGGGTATTTTGTTTTGGTAGCAGAATCTACTCGAGTTAGGGAGAATTCGAAGTAAGGAAAAAAGAAGGCATAAGATGAGGTCTAGTAGGGACAATGGTGTGGCGCTTAAGATGCCAAATAGAGTTGTTTGGTACATAGTACATACCCCCATTCCTACGCTAGTTCGTAAGTGGTGCCCTCCAGTTCTTTGGGCCTTTTTTTTACTTCTATTTGTTGGTTTTTCCTTTTCTTTTTAAAAATCATACAAATTTTAGAAAATAGTAAAAATATTTTTCAAACTTGTGATTTTATTCTCAAACATTTTTTCTATTCATATTTTGTTGAATTCCTGAACACTTTTGAGTTCACATTTTTGTCAAATTCGTGAACTTTTAAAATATTGTGAACATGTTTCAAACTCACAAATAGTTTTCAATTGTGCTAACGTTTTTAAAATTTGAAAATATTTTTTAAAATATATACTCCCTCTTTAAAGAAATATAACAACATTTCGATCACTACTTTAGTGATCTAACGCTCTTATATTTTTTTATGTATGGAGTATCAAATAATCCGACCGGTATTTTTGCAGGGAGAAATGCATGGCACTCAAACACCAATGTTGTCCCAAACATCTTTTCTTTGTGAGCCTAACAAAACATGGTTATCGACCCAAACATGAGTGTTCCTGTTCCACGCGCTATGCGTTGGATATAGTACAAACGTGTTAAGTGTAAATTCTTCCACTCTTGGAGCTCTAGCTGGGCCGGCCCATATTCCGCTTGAGTTTTCTTTGTTTTATTCGTCTGTTGCTGATAGCTACGTTTTTGCATGCATTTCGAGTGTTTCAAATTTCTTGAAACACAAATTCAAAAATATTTATATTTTTATATAAATTCCACGAATTTGTTAAAAATGTTCACTAATTAAAAGTAAATACACAATTTCCAAAAAATGGTCAGATATTAAAAATGCTATGAATTCGAAAACAATAATGAATCGAATAAATGTTCATGAAATATAAAAAGTTCTAAAATATCCATAAAAATCATGAAACATGTTCACAAATTTAGAATTGTTTCCTGACTTTTAGAAAATTTTGATGAATCCGAAAAATATTCTTGGATTTTTAAGTCTTTTCCCGGATTTTAAAAGTTTCCAGGAAATTAAAAATATTCCTTAATTCATAAAAATGTTCACAACTTCAAAATATGTTCCCCAAATTCAAGAAATGTTCTAGATTATTTTTCCAAAAAATAAAATTAAATTAGAAAATAATAAGATCGGTAAAATCAGGAAAGAAAAATGTGTAAAATTGATTTTCTAGAACCTTCCAAGACCTGCTGAAATATGTAAACAAGCCGGCCCATGTAACTCGAGGAATAGAGAGGATTGACCCTCCAAACAAGTTGACGTAACTCGTCTCTTCCCCGCTCACCATCGCCCACCCCGCTGCACTGTCCACCAGCCACCACTTCCCCGGTTGGCCGGTTCCCCCTACAGCCTCGACCCTGCCCCACGATCCTTGAAAGTTGACACACGAAGAAGAAACACAAAACGCTGCTCAAATTAATATGGTAGTGAGATGTTTAGCCGCTAACTATATTATCTCATACAGTCCTAAGGCCAAAGTGCGATCAGGCGCTTGGTTGAAACCAAGATATAGCTACGTCAAGGTAAACATTGATGCGGGTTTTTATGTGGACACGCTTGAGGGGACTGTTGGAGCGGTCATCTAAGACCATCATGGAGAGTTCATTGCAGCTACAAATGAAAAGATTGATCTTTGCTTTGACTCATTTACGGCGGAGGCAATTACAGTGAGGTTTGGAATGAACCTGACATGTACAGTTGGATGCAATAAGATCAACGTCAACTCTGATGGTGTGGAGGTTGTTGCTGCGCCAATCGACGGTTACTCTTCTTCAGTAGTTTCTATCTTTGATGAACATTATTTTTATGTCGCCTAATTTTACACATGTCATCTATGATCATTGCAATAGAGAAAGAAATCAAGTAAGTCATGAACTGGCTAGGATAGCTAGATTTTCTCCTCCAAATATCTAAACGGACAGGGCCCCGGATGTGGTTATTCCTCTTATTGTAAGCGATGTTATGATTCTTATGAATGAATAAAGAAGGAGATAATTGTAAAAAAAATAGAAAATAATAAAACCCGGTAAAATCAGGAAAGAAAAACATATAAAATCGGTTTCCTAGAACCTTGCAAAACCTGTTAAAAACACACTGTAAACCTGTAAACTGGCCGGCCCATGTAACGCGGGGAATAGAGAGGCTTTGGCCCTCCAAACACGTCGACGTAACCCGTCTCTTCCCCGATCAGGCGATCGGCACGCGTCGCCACCGCCCCGGGCTCGCCGCACCGTCCACCAGCCACCGCTTCCCCGGCTCCCCCTACGCCCTCGACCCCCGGCCCCGACCCACGATCCTCAAAGCCCTAATCGCCCTCCCTAGCCTCTGCCGCTAACTGTTCCTGACACCCCTTGCGGTGCTGGCATGGTTCGGTCTGACGACGACGGTGCCGACGGCAGGGAGGAGGGCCGGCGCGTGGCCTGCGAGACGGAGCCGGGGTAGAAGGATAGGAAGAGGAGGCGGAAGCGGAAGAGGAATCGGAGCGGCGCCAAGGCTGCACCGCCTGCGCCTCCACCTGCCCCATCCCAGGAGCACCGCGCTACCACCAGCGACGACGAACGGTCGGCTCAGGTCAGGGCCATGGTGGGCGAGCAGGTGCGGCATATGCTTGCCGTCCGCGACGCCAGGAAGAAAGAAACTGCCGAGCTACGTAAGAAATACAGTAACTGCTATCTGTTTTTTCTTTTCTTCCTTAGATCTGTTTATCTTTCCGCACTTCTTTTCAAGGAATAACAAACACTAGATTGTGGAATGTTCCACTCTTCATTTGTTCTCACATCCTTCCTTTATCGTGAGAAGTTGAACCAATCGATCTAGTGTTTGGTTGTAGAGATGAGCATTAGTGTGTACATGGGGTGATAATTATATTACATTCTCTGATTGAGTACAAAATTAACTCAAAACCAATAACTCCTCAGTATTAATTCAGAGCGCCTTCCGATTTTCCTATTCAAAGCACCTTAGTATAGGCTTTCCATAGATCACAGATCACATTATTATCTCCATTCAGCATGCCTTTAGTATTTCGCACACCGTCTAAAAAACCAATATGTTCTCACTTCAGTATGCCTTTTGTATTTCTACTTGTAATTGTTGATGACTGTATCATAAAGCACCTAATTAATCAGATTATGAGTGTGTCAGTCATTTCATACGTGGAAAAGGTTCTCTCGCTAAGACATTTTCATGATTTTTTTTCGTGGCGGCATGTCATCATCAATCATATGCAGTAAACGTAGTCTGGAAAACTAAAGCAAGACTTGGGCGGTTAATGTGTTATCTCTGCATAATCATTTACTCTAATTGGGCATCAGACACATCTTTCTATCTGACGATTTTTTCCATGACTATGAAATATGAATTGCATATCGTAGTTAAACGCCTCAATGGGGAAAGTGACTTTTCTGTGGAGGATACGTTTGGTGACTGCAATGATGGCAGCCTTGAGAGTCTCCAGGCTCGTAAAGTTGCATTGTTTGTCTCAAAGTCAATTGTCAGCCTGTCTTCTTTTGCAGGTATATATATCATAGCTTTACTTACTAGCCATTTTTTTTCCATATTTGGTTTGCACTGAATCCTCAGTATATAAGGTGTTGCTAATAAAGTTTAGGAGGAAAGAGGATCCGTGTTTGCTCGGGATTTGTGATGCGCCAAAAAGACGATACCGATGCAAATATGATTTTAACCTCAGCAACACTTGTTAGATCTCTGAATGGAGATAACAATGTGATCTCTGACGTGACGGTAACTGTTGCCTTAATCCTTGCCAAGTCTGTAGATGTAGTTTTAGTAGTTTGTCTTTATTTATTTATTTGTTTGATAAGTGATTTCAGGTCAAGGTGCTTCTACCTGATTGGCGAATAACCGATGGCCATATCCTTCTTGTGGATTTTCACTATAATGTAGCTGTTGTCAAAGTTGAAACTGATTTACCAGTCTTAGAAGAAGGCACTACCAACAATGGAGTTGTGTTAGCACTTGGACGTGCATATGAAGGTGGTTATCTCATGTGTTCACGGGGTCAAGCTGTAAACCAAAAAAGCACTTTTGAGTGTTTGGAGCTATTGGTGTCAAGCTGCGAAATATCCATGGTATAATATATATCGCATTTACTTTATTATTTTCTTATTGACCCCCTTTCATATAGTTATGACCTGTGTACCGCACGAACCTAGATTGAACTAATAACAAATTAATAACACCTAAGAAAGAGGAATAGTCTAATTAATTGACCATAGTTCTGATTCTTTCTTGTTCTGTTATTTGTGATCTCAATTTAGTGAAGCTAGGTAATCATGAAGAATGGTACTCCTTCAATTTGTAAGACAGAAAGAAGTGGTCTCTTTTGAACATATTCCATGATGAAATTATTGACCCCCCACCCCACCACACACACAAGCAAAAAATAACGAGGGATGAGCTGAATCTGAACTGGCTAATCCACCATCCATGGTGCTGTCCAATTGGCCCCAGGAGACTTAGCAAATTATTTGTTTTTTTCTTGATTATGCTGACACATTTTTCCCCATTATTTATTTTTTGTTTTGGAAGGCTGGTTCTGGAGGACCTCTTGTCAATTACAATGGTCAAGTTCTCGGTATGAACTTCTATGAAGACAATCAAACATCGTACCTTCCAATGTTAATTGTTTCAAGGATCCTGGAACAACATCAGAGCTTCGGGTAAACTATTCTACTTGTGATGCATCTACTTATAGTTTTTCTATTATATGTTTTGCCTTAGCACTCTTATTAGGGAAAATGGACTCGTCATTTGTTCTTTATTACTCCTTTTTATTTTGGCTGAGTATGTGTCAAATAAGATTTTTTTTCTTATTGTGCAGGAAATTAATTAGCCCTTGGCTTGGATTAAGGTATACTTCTCTTCATATGGTGTCACTGACAACCCTGGAGCGTATCTATCAAAAATTCCCAGATGTTGACCAAGGTTTATATGTTTCAAAGGTATGTATCTCTTCTATTTTTTTAATTCTTTTATGCTTTGTTTATCTCATTTGTATGTCAAAAATTTCCTCTTAAGAATATGAGCCTTCCAGTTTTAGAGTAAACTGACAGGCATTGCATGATGCCATCTTTAGCTCAAATATTAGACACGTTCTTAATAGTGGATTGAGTTTGTACAGGATTGGCCTCTACATAGTTATGTTCCTATTTGATAATATTAATGCCAATGTTATTAGATTTAGTTTCTTATAACCGGCCCCTGTTTCCCACCAAAGCGTTGGTGGGGATGGTGGTGGAAGCAAGATCTCCCCTGATAACATAAAAGGAAGCTGGGATGGGAAGGCACTCCCTTTGGGGAATAGCCCTGTTGCCATCCAGAATAGCTCCGTTGCTAGGCGTAGTCTCACAGCAGCATGCTGATGACTTGAAAGGCTACAACAATGTTAGTGTGCCTATTCTCCTCAAGCACCGCTAGGCAGACGGCAGCGTCAATACGGATCGTTCGCATCAGACTGATTTATCTCTCTGAAAGGTTGGATAGTGTTTGATTGGTGCCAGTATATTTTGGAATGGCATATCAAATCAGAATTTCTCCGTAGGTGATGCTGAAATATAGGCTGCTACAACAAGCATTTAGCTGCTTGATGGAAACTCTTTGTTGCTCATCCAATTAGGATTTCCTCATTAATTAGTACTCCCTCTGTCCCATAATATAAGACGCTTTTTTGACACTAGACAGAGGGAGTACTAATTTGTAGCTCATGCATTAATATTGCCGCGGGCCCAAACAGAAAACGTTGGATCTGCCAAAGTAGTATAAATAGCTAAGCACTGAGATATTAAATTTTGCCTAAGTTTTTCCTTCCAAGACGTGCATGATATGCAATCTAGAAGTTGCACAAATAGCCAAGGAAATGAGGGAGGAAATGTGTAAAAGAACATGGAAGGAGCTCTATAAGAGATTTATGCTATTGACTAAGATTTTAAGATAGACCGGTGAAAGACAAATTGAATTTATCACCCAATTATTTCTTCCCCATCTGTGTCTCATAAAGGTGAGCTGTTAAACTTGACGACATGAGGTACTTCAGGCCAATAACTTGCTACCTTGTCTTACATGTCATGGATGCTATTTCATTCTTCGCCGCACACTAATACCTTTCTTCATCAGGCTTGCAAATTAATGGTTAGCTTTTCTTTGATCAATTCCGCAGATCACAGAACATTTGAGCTTGAGTAGTAGTATCTGTCTATTCATTTGAACAAAATCGTGCTGCTGATGAAAGGAAACATGTAAAATTTCTTACTCGATAGTGCATGGCAATCTCCATGCACAATAAAAGGGAAATTTACAAAAGTAGCTTCTTTAGGAATTGGGACACAGATTACATGGTGTGTGTGTTATCTTAAAAAGAATATATGTATAACTTGCTAAAAAGTATATGTACAATGCTGTAGGCAAAAATAACAAATGAAAAAACTGAAACGAGTTACTCCTCGTAATGACATCGATGATGAAGAAGAAAAATCTGAGTCACCTATGTCAAGTTCCAGTGCAGGATCTACTGGCTGCCCAGCTATTGGAGGCATAGCAAGCACCAATCTGTTCAACGTGGCAACGCCCGTGCCTTTCGGTAAACAATAGTTGTTGGTACCAACTTAATTACATAAGAGAAAACTCCGAAAGCAATCACATATAGTAATTGCTAGCTTGAGGCCCTTTTTTAGCATGGAAGTTGATGGGTTGGGGAACGGGAGTTTAGTGGCATACCTTGAATACCAAATTGTCAGGACCTTAATGGTCTTGTCCAATAATATATTGTACCAAAACTATTGGCAAAGTTGATGCAACTCTGCGATTTTAATGAAAAGAAACAGAAACATGAGAACATATTGAAATATGATGGTGTGAAGGGGCAGAGTTAAATCCTTACTCTTTGGTCGTGTTCTGCTGCTTGATTGATCCTCGCTACTCGCTAGGGGTGTTTGAATGGTTGCCTTGATGGTTATGTAATGTGGGGATTTGAATAAGGCATGCTGGAGGTGTCTTTGGGAGAAGGGAAAACATGAGTTTTATGAGTTGATCTGATGACATGGCTTATGGAGATGGTATGAAAAATAGTTAGCAGGGGCCATTTGTTTAGTCATAAAGCATTCCTACACATAAGAGCGTGCTTTATCTATTATATTTTCAGCAGATTTGCTTTGGAAGTTAGTGAGTTGTATGTTGAATTACCGTGCATCTGTTGGTTTTTTAATATACTATTTTCACAATATCCATATAGATTTTTGAATTCCAAAAAATGCAATACCGGAGTTATGTTTATTTATTTATTTTCTGTCTTATTATATAGTTTCTTCAGTAGCATGTTTGTATAAAATGGATAGAATAAATTGCCAATTAGGTTGTTGATGGATCACCTGCTGATGTTGCTGGGTTATGTGTCGGTGATGTTATTGTAAAATGCGGTGAAAAAGTTCTTCTGACTGCTCCAGAGGTAACTATGTTTCCCGTAGCTTATTGTTATGATTTTGTTTGGTTGTTTGCTTTTTGTACTAATCAATATAAATTCATAATGCGTTCATTAGTTTGGTTCAATGTTATTGGATGCTGCGGTGGCCCATGTTGAATCCTTTGGAGGTTGTGATGGAGACATGATAATTGAGGTATTTAGTTGGTCCATCCAGAAGATATGTTTCTGGATTATATCCCTGGTTCTTTTCTATTTTTCTTTGCCATATTCTTTTTCTATAAAATTACCGCTTCTTATTTACAATCTTTATATTATTAGGTTGCGATAAAGCGACGAAGAGATGGCAACACACTATCAAAAACTATAGTTGTGGAGATGCTGAAAGAGAACAATTATAACAGGCATTTTGTTTATTTTCTTTTCTTTTATAAAAATATTGATGCCATGTGTTACAGCTTTGTTTGTACCACCGTCATCACATCTTGTTTTGTTTTGCATTCAGGTGGCCTGCGCCGATGCCAACCTACAAGATGCGTGTTATAAATGTCACACCGCGTGGCATAGGCAGCTACTAGCACTCATGTTAATCTATGGTTATAATAACAAGCCGTCTAGGGAAAATAAATTTCTGACACATGATTCAAATTTTTTTTTGCATCTCCATTTCGCTTAGTAGATATCACGCCGTGTAGAGGTGTTTATTAGGCATTTGGTCGACTGTGGAAGACTACCTGTGGACTCTTGGATTTGCTTGGCCTCCCTCTCTGCTCTTCTGTTTTACTACGGTGCTGCCATGTTTTGTGTACTACTACTTCATTTCATAGTGTGTCAGGTTGCACTTCTCCTTTTGCTTGCCTTCTCGCTTGTAATTTGATGTAGATCTTGTGTCGATCCATCGGTTTAATACAAAGCAGGGACTTCCTATCAATTTTCTTTGCAAATACTTTCGTAGAGAGAATTGAAGTTTTGAACCATGTTTCACTTTTTTGTGCATCCCATTTGAAACGAGGTAAATGGTTCTATGATAAATCACTAGTGCAGAACCGGCCTTTTGTGCCGGTTCATAACGGCCTTTAGTGCCGGTTTGTCAACCGGCACTAAAGAGTGGGGACTAAAGCCCCCCCCCCCCTTTAGTACCGGTTCGTCACGAACCGGCGCTAAAGTGCCACCACGTGGCACGAGCCAGGCCCGGGGTGCGCGTAGGGCATTAGTATCGGTTGGTAACACCAACCGGTACTAAATATTTGGTGGTGGGGGGGGTTGATTTATTTTTCATTCAATTTTTTTTGTTTGCTGGTATTTCACGATACTACAAATTGTACACGTTATGCATATATATAAATAGATTTTCTCGTACGTAGAACCGCATATATATATTTGTATATCTGTATTGTAACATTGTATTGTACCCCTTGGGTACCTTTATATAATGAGATAGCCACACCCTAGGTTAGGGGTGTCGAGCAGTTCCCAAAATACTTTGTTTTACATGGTATCAAATACTTTATTTTATATATATATCATCGAAATGTCTCACAAATCAACACCATTAATTATTCACACATACACATGTATATACATATACAATTTCTCCTACATATGTTGCCTTTGGTGCCTCCGGAGCACGATGACAAATGGTTCATGGGGGCGGTAGCGGGTAATAGTATTCTCCTTTGGGATCTATGACCTGGTCGAGCAAAAATCCGGCTATTTCCTCTTGAAGTGCTAGTATGCGGTCGGATGGTAGGAGCTTATCCCGCATCGATCTAAACTGTTAAGAAGGAGATCAATATGCATGTGCGTTAGTTGTGTGACTAAATATCGATAATGGTGTGAATAGTGTTCTGACAAACATACCCAGTCCTGTCTATCAAATCTGCTCCTTTCACACGTCATCATGTGAATGTTCTCGCAAACGTAGAATGCACACAGATTATTCCCCGGCGCCTGCTTCAGGGCCTTTACGAGAATGGAATTGAATCAGATAATGATTAATCAAGCATGATAATTAATTAATGATATTGAAACAAGAATTAAAGAGATGGTAGCTAGCTAGTACTACTTAATTACTTACCTTGGGTCGATGCCAAAACAACTTTTTTGGCCACTTGCCTGGAGTCACCTTGATGAACTTTGCCCATGCACTGCCCGCCGGCAAAAAAAATTAATAAAGGGGTTATTAAATAGTTCATATTAGGAAATGACAAACTAATAATTAATAGGCCGAGATATAGTTAATAATGATTGAAATTACCTGTTGACTATCCCCTTCACGATGGTGTAGTCTTTATCTTCTTTAGTTAGTGAGTCCAATAATTTAACTTTTCCTTCCTCAACTTTAATGTCTAACAAGACCCAGTGCCAACTGCATACGCACACGTTTGCATGTCTTAATTAAGCGGGCATGTGCATAAAATTAATCAACTACCGTAAACCGTATACACTTAATTATTAACATTTTGCTAGCTAGTAAGCAAAAAAATAGAATTTGTAGTACAAGACAGTGTGACTCACGGGAAGTTGTAAGGAAGTAGTATATCTTCATTGCTATTGAGGCGCTTCAAGAACTCTAGCATGCTTTTCTCTACAGCATCTTGACAATATTCAATCTGCCATATGTCCTCAATAATGGTATTTGGGTCAATGAACCCAACGCCATAGCGTCCAGCTTTTTTCATTTCATACATCTTCATCCTGCATATAGTACCACAGAAAAAGAATATAGTGAGGATAATTACATGTAATGATTGCTCAAAATTATCACTACATAACTAGCTTGAGTCTTAAATTACAAAAAGAAATCACTTACAGACAATAGCAACTGAAGATAGACTTGTCGAGTGCGTCTTGATTGTATAACTAAAATAGTTCTGGATACTCAATGGCCAGAGCTTTCTCATGGTAATAATGCTTATGCTTGACATTCACCATGAGGGACTCTCGATTAGAAATCTTGGTAATGTTCATGTATGCAATTGATACATTCTCGTTGGGAGGTCCTTGACCTTGTCTGGATGAACCAAAGATTGGCCCCGGACATATTTCCACGCTATTTCTGATTCTCTAAGCGTAGGCATGGGCTCGATTTCGAGGGGTTGTCCAACAGAGATATTGAGCATTTGAGCCTGCATTATATGACCCTCCGTTATTACCACATCGCCATGCGGGGGAATTCTAACGGTTTGCCCACAATAATATTTGGCGTGCGTACTACTCCTCTCATGTGTTGTTGGCACAACAAGAGGGGGGATCGCTTGCGCCGCCTGTTCTCCCAATTGGGGAATGGTTTTCCCGCATTTTTTGCCAGCTGCTTGTTGGCTCGAGCTCAAGCTCGCTTCCTTCTTTAGTCGTTCTCGATGTAGTTTCCTGATTTGGCGCTCATAGTCCGAGTCAACAGGTTTGGGAGCTGGTTCTCTAGCCATACGAATGAAGTGGTCAATTACTTTTTCAGGCACTTTCTCCTTTGGCGGCGGTGCCGGTTTCGGTCCAAAATGGGCGTCCATTTGGGCTTGCACTATGGCTGCGTTTTGCTCCTTAGTCATGTCGTAAGGCCTCTGAGGAAGAGGAGCGAGGCTTGAACCATATTTATATCGCTTGTCTCCGCCTGTACTTCCTGAACTACCTCGACTCGTACCGCTACGCACCAAAGCTGCGGCATGTCTCTTCTGTGATTGCTGAGACGGCGGAGACGGCTGACGTGGAGTTGGACCAGGAGAAGTGGCCTGATGATGTGCCGGACTTGAAGCAGGAGGTGTGGCCTGACACGGTGCCGGACTTGAAACCGGAGAAGTGGCATGACGATGTGCCAGACTTGAAACCGGAGGAGTCAGCTCATGCGTTCGGGGACTTGGAGGAAGTGGCCGACTTCGAGGAAGAGTCGTCTTACGCGTTCGTGGACTTGGAGGAGCGGGAGTCTGCTGACTCGGTGGCGGACTTCGAGGAGGAGTCGGCAGACGATGCGGTGTCGGTGGACTTCGAAAGATGATGCAATCCTTTCTCCATAGGATGATACGATGTATGGCCTCTCCCAGTGTGCGCTCGTCTTCACCTCCAGGAATGTCAAGCGTTAGCCCCGAATATGGGTCCACCACTTCATCAACCATGACACGAGCATAGCCCTCTGTAATCGGGATGCAATGGTAGGTTGCTTCGGGGGTAACTGGAAAAGCAATGCCGTCCACCACCTTCATGGATATGTTCTTCATTTTGGAGTGTAGCTCACAGTTAGTGTTCTCTATGATATAAAAAAACAGGGTTTGTATCCAGCAGTGTGTCGCCCGGGGCAGAACCAACGCTGCTTCTCGGCATGGATGGGACGGTGATATCCAATGCTGGACGATTATCCGCTTGTTGCTGCCGCTGCTGAGACCCCCTTTCCTAGCTAAGTGAGTCGATCTACTGTTGCTGCTGCTGGAATTTGAGTGCCAGGTCCGCGTGCCTTGCTTCTAGGCCTTGAAGGCGTTATGCGTCCTGCTTCCTCTGCTCCTCCTCCAGCTTCCTCTTCTTCTCCTCCTCCATCTTCTTTCTTGCACGGGACCTGTAGTCGTCATTCCAGTCTGAAAAGCCCTCATACCAGGGAATAACGCCCATGCCTCGTGTTCTTCTCGGGTGTTCAGGATTTCCCAGGGCGCGCGTAAGCTCGTTGTTCTCTCTGTTGGGCGTGAACACCCCCGCTCAAGCTTCTTCTATTGCGTCAAGTATCTTTTGTTCGGCTCCTTTTAGACTTGCCTTCTTTGAAACCAGGCTTGTCTTCAGGTCCAACGCCCCCCCATGCGCATAGAACCAAGTTCTGCACCTGGGGGGCCAGCTCCTAGTAATCGGAGTGACCCCTGCACCCTCCATCTCTTGCTCAGACTTATCCCACTTAGGCAATCCCACCGCATAGCCATCTGGACCCAGCCTATGGAACTGCGTCTTTCTTGCGACATTTGCCTAGTTTTTCATCGACCGTTCCTTAGATAATTCTGAATCCTTGAAGGTCACAAAATCGTCCCAGTGTTCTCTTTGCTTCTCTAGTGTTCCCTTGAAATCTGGAGTCTTCCTTTCATTAGCGAGGTAGTTGGCCCATACAGTTTTCTTGTGGGTGTTGAATGCAATTGCCATCTTCTTAAGAGCAGCGGCCTTGACTTTCTCCACATCTGCTTTAGTGAAATGATCTGGTAGGGTGAAATGTTCCATCAGAGATTTCACCAGGTCTTTTTTGGCTCTGTCGTCGACCCAAATAACACCTGGACGTTTAGTCTTTGGCTCTTTCCATTCTTGAATGGAGATCGGGAGTTTGTCCTTCACAAGAACTCCGCACTAACGAGTCCACTTGTCCACAACGTTCTTAGGCGTGAGGGATTCGCCACTAAGTTTGGTGGATTCGATGTGGTACTTTACACCATCCTTCAACAATCTGCCCGGGCCTCGCTTTGTCTTGCAGTCTGTAGAAGCAGATTTGCTCGATCCGGAGGGCTGAAAGAAGAAAGATCGATTTGTTAATATATCTTCAATAAAAAAACATGTGATGATCACCAGGATGCATGCTTATATAAATATACCTCGCCGGTAGTCTTTGTTATTTGAAGATCAG